GGCCAGAATGAGTTTATTTCCCAGGACATAAAGAATCTCCTCTAGATTGTTACTGCAGTGACATTAGAAACATGCAAACTGATCCTCTGATTAGAATCTGGAAGAGAGAGATAAAAGGTTTATCTGTGTGACAAGGGCTGTTTGATAGGCCATTAGATGACACATTTGTATGTTTGCTTAAACCCTCTTTGATTCTGTCAGTGTCTTGTCAAAGAAAAAAATATGAGAATGCCTTTAAAGATGCTTCATTGTTTATCTAGTAAATAGCAGAAATGCAGATTACCCTAATAAATGCATCATTTTATGGAAAGAGTAACCTTTCTCTGTATAATATAGAGGACAAAAGACAATCAAACATGCTGATGGTAAATCTACAAAATCTAAATATGTGTCAATACACAAAAGAGGTTACTGACAATGTTTTTTTAAACAATTGTTATTAATTAAAAAAATGACATTGATAGAAAGAGTAGACAGGTTGTCCTAAACTACAGATGCAATTTCCTTTTAATCGTAATTGTTGTGTTTTGAACATTTTTTTTTTCTTTTACTTCATTTGAGTTAACCTTTAGAGCATAAGTCAGTGCAGTATTTAAACTGGATTTGGCTATGAATTGTGATTTGGTTAAACTAGATTAATAACCTTAATTGCTTGTAATAAAAGGATAACAATTGTGAAACACTGCAAGAATAAATAGTTTTTTGTTTTTTTACTTGAGAGTGAGTTGTGGTTAACTGATAATTATCTTACAAAATTTAAACTAACAAAGGGTTTTTTTTTTACAGCTTGGCTATTTTGGCATACCATTTGCAACTCAGTTATCCACTTACCACAAAGAGTTTTTTTTTTTTTTAATGAATAAGCACTTAAAATCCCTTTTTAATTTAAGAATGCATTTTTATTCATGGTGAAAATACTTATATTTGAGCAAATCAATACAGAGCTTGGATTGAAAGTATAATCATTACTCACAAATCCATTAAATATCTATCTATCTATCCATCTATCTATCTATCTATCTATCCATCTATCTATCTATAAAAAAGACAAATCACATTTATATACACATTTTAACTTTTGGAAAAATCATTGTGCTGATACTTGTTATAATATCCATTCAATTGTTTTAAATTACATTGTAATTCCAATGCACTATATTAAATATTTCCATAATGCTTCTATCTTTATGAAAATCCCAAAGTGACAATACTTCTTTAATGTAAAAAAAGACACTACACATGCACAATAATTTGACAACGATATATTGTTTACCTTTCACATTTCAGTATTTATAAAAAGGGCAATCAACATCAAAAGTCCAAGAGGACATATATGTGAAAATATGTGCTTTAGCTACTGAGGTACTTTGAAGCAGTATGGCCAAAGCATGTTACCTATATAGCATACAGCTGCATTTTCTTATTTCTATAAGAGGCAATGTCCCATATTACTAAATACTAAAGACAGACTGTGAAACATGCCCTTTATTTAGTTATTCAGACTCACAATACAAACAGTTTATTAGTTCTTAAATAAGACCGTTTTGAATATCTACATATATATTAATACCTTGAGTGCTAATAGCCTGTGCTTTGCACAGCTGGTTAAATATATCAGAATTTGCTAAATCTTTTTTTCTTAAATAAACTTTAAACATATATTAAATAAAAGGGATTTACTTGATAAACATGAACTGTAAATTAAAAAGTCAAAATGAATATTTTAGATTAAAGTAGATGAATAAGAAAATTTATCCATTCGTTAAATTTTCCATTTTGGGTATTTAACCTGTATTTTTTTTTTACCAAAACTCACTTTTTAGAAAATAAACAACAAAAACATACATTGTAAAATTACAAGTTTTATTTTAAGTTATATATTAAATGGAATTGCATATCTATCAAAAATAATGATGATTCCAATTAGTCATACAGTATAATGGAAGATCAGTTAGGGTGGAACGCAGTATTTATTGGTTACATCACAAAAGACTGATTGTATTCTTTGGGATTCATGCCATTGCTTAGACAGGTTGCTACTTATCTACATTCCAAAACTTCAATCCCAAAACCCTAATCCGGCTCCATTTGAGACAGTGTGTGCAATTTACTAATTTGTTTCTAACAGAAAAAATCAGCCAAATACTTTGCAGAGCATTAGATGAACACTTATGTACTTGGCAAAATAAGTAACAATTCAGGACACATTAATCTAGTTTACTCATTATAAAGACACTCCGTCTCTGTGCACTAGGTCTATACCTTAGTTTCATTTACCAGATCATCCAGCAAAATTAAACCTGTGAAATAACATACTGGGATAACCATCTTTATTGTACTTTGACTTTAAAAAAGGTGTGTGCAGATTGGAATAGATCAGCCAATCAGATTGCTAATCAGTGTTTATTTTTCACACTGATGCTAATCAGTACAATGTAGATATATAATGCCTATATTCATTTTGTAACTCTAGTTTTGAGGTTAAAAGAACTATCAGTTTAATGCCCCCATAACAACTAAAATTAACTTAGTGTTCAGACACCTTCTTATCTCTAAAGGTTAAAAGTGTTTGTCAATGGTTTAACTCTGAAGTCTTCCTCCTGGCTTACTTGCTGCTCTATAATATGCCCAGCAAGTCTTCCTCCTGGCTTCCATGCTTCTCTATAATACAGAACGAGGTAAGTTTGGCTTGGAAGGCTGGGAGCATTAGCTGTTAATAATGTGCACTTATTGAGAACATCATTATGCATGATTTTAATAGTACTATATTATATTACCGTTTAAGTCCATAGTTATCCCTGTTTGGGATTTTCTTTTAAAGAAAAATATATTCACTATTGAATATGCTACTACGTTCTGCATTGATCTTTATACTAGAGTGGTATTTGTATGCTACTACGTTCTGCACTGATCTTTACACTGAAGTGGTATTTGTTTTTACTATACTATTTTTGTATCAATAATTAAATAGCTGTATATCTGTTACCATTAATATTGTATTTTTTTTTACTTTATCTAGTGTGCAGCTATTCCTTGTATATTGCACTTGATAGCTTTTAATAGTTTTTATCTTCTTGAATACACTTTATTCATTTAATATTTGGTGTAACTAGCATCACCTTCTTCAGTTGATTTATATATAACGAAGTAATAGAAGATATACAGCAAGCATAGAAGAGTAACAAAACTTTAATGATGTGCGAGTGGAAGTACTAAATGGTTTACGAACATGTCACAATCCAAGACTGCAGTGAACCTATTTTTTCATACATTTCTACATGATAATTATAGAGACATAAAAATGCATAATTTTACTCCCTTGCCAACTCCACCACCTTCCCTATGGCAGCCCTGGAGGCCCACATAGCTCTCATACCCAAACCTGGCAAAGACCCGACGAACTGCGGTAGCTATCGCCCAATCTCTTTGATAAATCTAGACGTGAAATTATTTACGAAAATACTGGCCACTCGCTTAAAACCTCTGCTCCAAACCCTGATACACTCCGACCAAGCAGGCTTCATCCCCAACAGGGAAGCAAAGCACAACACCACAAAAATTTTAAACCTGATATATATGCCACAACGTCTTCAGAATGAGAGCCTTCTACTCTCAATTGACGCTGAAAAGGCGTTTGACAGGGTGGACTGGTCACTACTGACAGCCACTCTGCGAAAACTAGATTTTGGACCCAGGTGGATGGAGTGGATGCAGGCCATCTACTCCACTCCCACAGCCCGACTAAGGGTAAATGGACAACTCTCAGAACCAGTACACATAAGGAACGGCACGAGACAGGGTTGCCCTCTTTCCCCCCTACTCTTTATTATCGTACTAGAACTCTTCTTAAATGGAGTCAGGGACAACCCAGATATCAAGGGCATTGAAATACAATGCGCAGAGTACAAATTCTCAGTGTTCGCTGACGATCTACTCTTCACTTACAAACACCAGACACCTCGCTGCCCCCCTCTTAGACGAAATCGCTTATACCACAAACTTTCCAACTTCCAAGTTAACTTCTCGAAAAGCGAAATATTACCAATATGAATAACTCCCCTATCAAGCACAAACCTGAAAGCCGCATTTCCCTTCACATGGGCAGATGATTCCATTACATACCTAGGAGTCCGCTAGTCGGCAGACCCATCATCCATCTTCGCCCTAAATTATGACCCGCTATACCAAGCCATCTCAAAAAACCTACTAACTTGGCACAAACCACAGTTCTCGTGGCTCTGTAGAATCAACATTCTTAAAATGAACTCCCTCCCTAAGATACTTTACCTCTTTCAAATCCTGCCAATAGCTATACCAAAGCTCTTCTTCACTAAGCTTAGGCAACTTTTCACCACCTTTATATGGGCACAAAAACAACCCAGAATCCCATATGAGGTTCTCACCAGACACAGATCCTGCGGTGGATTGGGCCTCCCACACATGGAACGATACTACAAGGCAATTATTCTTTCCAGAATCCAAGACTGGTTCACGCATCCACCAACACATCAATGGGTAACTCTTGAAAGCGGTAAGTCTAGTACCTCTCTACACACTCCCCTGGCAGAGAGTAATCCCCTCGAAATTGCTCTCTTGCTGCCCCGCACTCCCCACACTCAAGACATGGGTGAGCATGCAAGAAGCTGAGAATATCTCCCCTCACCCATCCCCACGCTTTCCCATCACACGCAACCTGCTCGTCCCCCCAGGAATGCAGCCGGGGGCATACCAACGATACACTAAAATGCTTGACGCCCCCTACTTGATGCTAGGATCTGTGGTTGAGAGCAACTCAATACGGACACTAGCTAGTCTGACGGGACACGAGACTCCGCAAACGCTACAAGCATTTCACTACGCCCAGTTGACTCACTTCTTACTGGCCAACACAACCTTGCTCAAGGGCTCCCGCACCTTGTCCAATTTTGAGGCACACTGCCTGACCAATAACCGTAAAACCAAACAGTTATTGACCTTTTACAAACTTTTGCAAGCAGAACATGGAGCCCAGCTTCCCCCCTTCACAGGCTCCTGGAAAACAGACCCGAACATACAACTCACCATACCCCAATGGAGGACCATCCTCTCACAAATTCACGCAACATCCACATGCACCAATATCCAAGAAAGTGGATATAAGAGAATATCCAGATGGCACTACTCTCCTGCCAAAATACATCGCATTTTCCCAAACACACCAGATGTCTGCTCGAAATGCTCCCAACCGAAGGCGTCCCTCGCACACATCTAGTGGCACTGCCCGCTCATGCAACGATACTGGACAAACATTGCGATAATGATTCATACAGTGACAGGTACACATCTTCCTCATACCCCTCACACACTGTTGTTCTTGATCGTACCTACCTCAATTCCTGAGACACAAAAAACCCTCCTGACACATCTCCTTACTGTGGCCAATCTGCTCATCCCAGTAAAGTGGAAAAACACTGAGGTCCCCACGATCAGAGAATGGATAGCCAAAGTAGACTCAATCAAAACCATGGAAGAAATCCACGCATCCATCTCCCACAGATATACACTCTTCAGGGAAACATGGGAACCATGGGAGAGATTCATGGCCGAGAAACTCAGCCTGACTACCCGTAGCTCAAACCCGTCCCTATGGGGATGATCTCCTGGATGGGCCGACTGCACCAAACGTAAGCAATATGACACATATTCCTCACACAAGGTACTACTACATAGACCACTTGGGAAGCCCAAATCCAGCTGCCCGCAACACATACACACACTAGTCCACATATATCACCATGGGGGGCCACCCCTGGCATAAGACTTAACTAAAGACATATCCACATTACATGAGGGTGGGAGAAGACAATGCAACTCTAACTACACAGCAACCAGGACACTGCTAAGTGTTACCATCTCAGAACTCAAGAATAGTTAAGGTTAAAGGTATCGCCTAATCTCAGTACCAGTTTGAACCTCAGCCTTAGCTCTAGCTCTAGTAGTTGATGCCGGTACTACAATACCAATTGTATAATTCTTGCAGAAATTTATTATCTACTAATATGTATTTATGTGTACTTATAATGTTTAAAAAAAAAAAAAGTGTTTCTATCCAGAAAGGTATCTATCTACTGCAATGTCAGTTGTCTCCCTTGATGCAAATGTAAACGCAAATATCCCCCTTTTCCCCTTCTTTACTTCTGTACCCCCGTACTTTGATGATGTTTACTCTTGAAAAACCAATAAAAACCTTTTAAATAAAAACAAATAAAAGGAGATGTAAAAAAACATCAAAATATTTAAATGTAGTATCCACTAATAAACATATGTAAGCAATAATTACTAATGTACACTTTTTTATTTTTATCGTATACATGATAAAATAATTAAAACAGGGGGTGTGGTCTGAATGGCGTCAGAAACGCGTTTCGGAAGAAGATAAGCTCCCTTTGATATTTAGACTTACCATCATATTGTTTTTAATATTGTTTTATATATTGTTTTCCAAACCAAAACTGGAAACATCCACCATATTAAGGATCTGTCTGGTGATCACATTAAAATAATTCACTGAACGCTCCACCGTAACAACTTACAGATAGCAATCTGTACGTAACCCCATAAAAACTGTGAGTCCACCAACTGACCATTGCAAATGGCAGTCTGTGAGCTCAGAGATCTTTGTCAGAGGGCCAAAGAGGTCCAATGGTTTATCCTGACAGGTCTTCAAGGTTGACTCCAACCCTTTCCAGAGGATTCACCCCAAGTTAGCCAGAAGCTTCACCATCTTATGGTCAACCACATGGGTATCGCAAACTTTGCCTGAGACAATAGGGTGGGGCATTCTGCTCTAAGATTACTCCTAGTCACCTAACATGCAGTTACAAGTTCTGCATAATTGAAGCCCACTTTGCTGAGCAGGGATGGTGGAAGTCATCAGGGTCAATAAGATGATCCCCAAGGGGATCTCACAAAGTATCCACCTGGGACCCAGACTGGAAACCATAGTTGGGCGCCTGAGCCTGTGAGGAGAAAGGTTTGGGGTCCAGCAGACCACCAACTCAGCTAGATACATAAGCTGCCTAGACTCTGAGTCCAACTCACTCAAAGCTTCCTCTTGTGACTTGAGTTTTGAGTCGGAGTCGTTCACTGATAGTGCTCTAGCACTTTTTCATTTCTGAGTCCATTCATCCTGACAGGGCAAGGCTCTCTTGTTTTTTGTGACTACGCTTTCAGCATTAGGACCATCAGTCACAATGTTTCTGGAGGATGGGGGTGGTCCACCATCTGGGCCTGCTGGGACTGCAATAAATACTGGGCAATGGGTTGCGAGATGGCAGACAATAGCATCTAAAACAGAGCAATGAAGAGCATTGTCAGGGTCCCAAAACAAAGGGGAGTGGAATAGTTAGTAGAGAAAATGGGTCAGAAGCATTTATCCCAGGGGACTGGGGATCCCTAGGAAACCTGTAGCTCAATTGGGAACCAGTGGGTTTAGGTTAAGACACGGTGGAGCTCACATATCCCCAGAGGACAAAACCATGCAGAAAGAATACAGCTTGGGACAAGCAAGAGGCACCACCGGGGTAGAGACTGTAAGAAACAGGTTGCAGGAGGGGAACAAAGGAGAAATGGAGAACAGAGAAAGTCCTGGGAAACAAGGAGGGACTGCTATTTGAGGTCTTTGCTGCTATTTTTGGTTAGTAAAGAAAGAGTTAAGCACAACACTTGCTTCCGTTTCTTGAAATAAAATTATAGAATATAATTCCTGATATAAAGTGCACTACAACTTTTAACTATTCAATGAATGTTACAGTATATAATCGAATGACATAGAGATATGTTACATGTACTAAATTTAGTTTAAGAACCGCTAACTTATCACATAAAGACAAGCACAAACAAACTGACATTTTCTGCACACAAGACTTCTTACAGATTACTGTGTAGATGGTCTTACTTGCATGGAGTTTGCAATATACAGATTTGACAAATGCAGGCTGCTATAGTCGCAAGTTGTGACATTATATATACCTTTAACCTTCATATGCCTGATCAGTACCATATGATGAAGCCCACATAGACTGCTGTATCTGGGATGACTAGGCTAATTTGTAGAAAGAGAGTCTGCACACATAAAGTCACCAAAGAAGACCATCATCAAAGTTATGAACATTTTCTCAATGTACCATCCAGGCACTTGCAAACATATTCATGGACATCATAATGCTCATCACAGTCTCTGAGCCTGGTCATCCATGATACTGCAGTCTCAGAGAGCCAAAATGCATAGGCCCACAAAGTGCTGGTTTAACAAAGACCCTGCCTATTTCTTGTGTGCTACCTCACTCCTGCAGCACTCTACTGACAGACATTTTATTTATTACAGGCACCTATAAATATTTTAATCAGCAGATTAATGTTTTTGCACAAGATTTTGAGGCATATTCATCTGGTAGAGCATTTGTGAGATCAGGCACTGATGTTGGATGAGAAGGTCTGGCTCACAATCCCCATTCCATTTTATCCCAAAGGTGTTTGATGGGGTTAAGATCAGTCAAGTCCTTACACACCAAATCCAACCATGTTTTTATGGACATTGCTTTGTGCACTGGGGCACAGTCGTGCTGGAATTTAAAAGGGCCTTCCCAAAACTGTTCCCACTAATTTGGAAGCACAACATTATCCAACATGTCTTAGTATGTTGAAACATTAAGATTTCCCTTCACTGGAAGTAAGGGACATAGCCCAACACCTGAGAAACAGCCCCATATCATTTTCCTTCCTCCACCAAACTTTACAGTTGGCACAATGCAGTCAGGCAGGTAACGTTCTCCTGGCATCCACCAAATCCATACTCTCCCATCAGACTACCAAATGATTCTTCACTCCACAGAACACGTTCCCACCGCTCCAGACTCCCAGAGTCCAGAGAATAGGTAACGAGTGTGCAATAAAGCTTTTATGTTCTATAATGGCAGCCCATCATGTGTCCTTATGTGTCATTATACTCACGTGCTTACACTTTAAATATTTTGGGTATTGCTTATTTGTTAGAAACATGTTTTCAAGTTCTTTCAAGTATTACATTATATAAAGTTGCTACGTTAAAGTGTTGGTAACTTCTCTTGGGCAAGATTGTGATAAGTTAAGGTATTTAAGGTAGAAGACATGTTGGAAAGTATTGGAATGGTGAGATTCTGATCACATTGACATACCTTGTATGGTCTTTTTTTTTGTCTGCAATATGTAAGTGTATTTTCCTTCTCATGTATACTTATCTTGAATCCACTGTCTTACTTATATATTCACTCTGTTTCTTGTAAAACCTGTGGTAAAATATTTCAATAAAAATAAGATTGTTAAAAAAAATAATCGCATTGACATTGTTACCAGATCAAAGGTAACAAGACAATAATAGATATGAGGTAGCAATTTTCCTACATATTTGGACAAAACTGCAATCTCATGTTTTTCCTAAAAAAATGTGATAAATAGAGAATATAAAATTTTCATATATTTATTTAGCTTTTTTAGACTTGGAGATTTGTTCTATTTCAAACTACAATTTGTTTGAAATCAGACTGATTGGGTGATTGGCTAAAATTCAGATTTCCGAACCACATGTTATAACCTCAGAAAAAGTAACTTTTAAATGCATGAACATACTCATTTTCCTTAGTGATTTTCAGTATCGTGCTGGCACAATAAAAAAGGGTGATGGAATAGAGAAGAGGCTATTGTTTTTTCCTTGATGGGTTAATCTTAACAGCTTAGTTTGTCAGGATGGGCAAATGGTCTATCCAATCATTTGAGCTGTATCCCTGCCTATTCAAGAGGTGAAAATCTAAATCTATATTTCCAAGCAGGATTCTTCAAGACACTATGAATGCAGCTATTCTGGGAGATAGACCAGTAGTAATACTGTGTATTTTACCAGTTCTGTGCCTGTGTGGGAGTAGGTGATAACGTTTGTAATTGGTTCTAGTATGCTATATCTATCGCGTTAACACCTACCAGTGGCACTTGAAGTAGCTTTGAGTGGGAGATAGTAGATTGCCATTGTGTCATTGATCCTATTGTGAGACTAGGTTTAAGGTACTGCTGTGTCTATCTATCAAACTAGCAGTATAGATACTGTCTATCAGTGGCACTTAAAACAACTTTTGAGAGGGAGATGAAATTGCTATTGTGCCATTTATCCTAGCATGAGAACAGGTTACCAATTTACTGTTTTTAAAAGTTTTGCATAGACAAAATCCTTTTTTAGGGAACTGTAAAAATAATAAAAAAAAATTATAAAATGTTCTTGCCTAGTTAC